AAATTCACATCAAAGATTGATTAATTGCGTAGGATCTCAGTTTGGCACGGCATTTGTGACCAGCATATACCTTCCGGTCGTATGAAACAGGTCAAAAACTGTCCAAATCCGCAGATAAAATTTTTGTTTTGAATTTCTGTATGGCAAAATAGTGAACTTTTCGTGAACATTAACGGCAAAGAACTCACCAACACTGGGAGACCGTGAGTTTCTGCCCACCTGTCATTTCCCATCTCGTGCTAGCACTATCCCAATCTGCCTACGATGTGATAGCTTTCACCGAAACCTGGCTCGGTGTTGATATTTCAAATTCTGAATTATCGCACAACTATACAATCTATCGCTGTGATCGCAACGCCACAACAAGCCAATTTCGACGATGTGGTGGTGTTTTGGTCGGCGTACGTAATGCATTGAACAGTGCCGCTGTTTCGATTGCTGGTACCGAGTGTCTGGAGCAAATAATTATAATCGTTCGGATCAAGCTGCCTACATTTGAACTCTTCGTCTGTTTTATTTATCTCCCTCCCAACAACAGCGACAATGCATTGTATGAACAGCACTGTTCATGTGTTCCAAGACTGATGGCTCAAGCGGGTGATCGTGGTTTGGTTGTTGTTGTTGGTGACTAAAATCTACCCTTCTTGAATTGGGACCATGATGATGAATTGCGATGTTTGCTACCTACAAATACATCTTCTGAGCAGGAGTTCACTGTGGTTGAATCATTCATCGCTAATGGTCTGCATCAGTTGAATCATTATGGTAATGCGAATGGAAGGATACTAGATTTGGTTTTCTCTACTGATATCAATGTACTCGAGCTTGTGGAGCCCCCGTCACCGCTACTGCGTGTTGATGAACATCATAAACCATTGGTGCTTGTGATTGAAACTACAAGCGAATGTGAAATTTCCCGAGCAACTGATCCGTTAGATTTTGACTTCAAGCGATGTGATTTTGCAGTTTTGAGCTCAATGATTTCGGATGTCGGATGGGTGAATCTTCTAATTGGTTGCAGTGTCGACGAAGCGGTATCGATATTCTACGACAAGCTTTATGGAATCATCAGTGAAGTTGTGCCTCTAAAACAACGGATCGACACCCACAGGAAGAAACAACCATGGTGGAACAATGAACTGCTACGGCTGCGAAATCGTCTACGCAGGGCAAGGCAGCGTTACTTTCGGTCTAGGAATGAACAGAATAAGGCTGAGCTGCGTGACTTAGAGAGCGAATATAACTCTTTGCATGCACAATGCTTTCGGTGCTACATTCATCGTACTGAAGCAAGTTTGAAACAGGACCCCCAACAATTCTGGCAATATGTGAAGACCCGTAAGCGATCCAACGGAATGCCTCGACATCTGCGTTACCAAGGTGAGGCAGCTGAATCTCCATCAGAATCTGCAAATCTGTTCTCGGCGTTCTTTCGAAGTGTGCAAAGTAATAACCGACCACCTTTGACTGAATCGTACTTGAGCAATTTGCCGCACTACGACTTGAACGTGACCTGTGAGTACACTCTTCAACAGATCTCTTTCGGAGGGCATATTTCCCAACAAATGGAAAACTGCAGCCATCACTCCCATTCATAAAAGTGGTAATGTTAATGACGTCGAAAATTATCGTGCAATTTCGAGTTTGAGTTGCTTTCCTAAAGTCTTGGAGAGTCTTGTCCATGATTTTTTGTATCGTAACGTTGAACATGTGATATCAGAAAGTCAGCATGGATTTGTCAGGAAGCGGTCAACAACAACCAACCTGATGTGCTACGTTTCTTCTCTTGTGGACAGCCTTGAAAAGCGACAACAGGACGATGCAGTTTATGTCGACTTTTCTAAAGCATTCGACACTCAGTGGCTTACTCAATGGATTGAATCGTACTTGTCTGAGCGTTGGGCTTTTGTACGCCTCGGTGGAACCTCATCTGAAACGTTCTCAATTACTTCCGGGGTTCCCCAAGGAAGTCATTTGAGACCATTACTTTTCGTGCTGTTTGTTAACGATCTGTGCGGACTCATCAGATCACCGAAGTACATGTTCGCTGATGACCTGAAATTCTTCCGCCTGATAGCCTCCATGGTCGATTGTTGCGCTCTTCAGATGGATATCGACTCGCTTCTTGAATGGTGCTCACTAAACGGAATGGAAGTGAATATTCGTAAATGTAACATCATCTCGTTCAACTGATCTAGGACAACTGCCATTTTCGATTATAAGATGAACGCTTCAAGTGTCAACCGTGTGTCATCAATCAAGGATCTTGGATTAATACTGGACAGTAAGCTGAAATTCACCGAGCACATTGCAACAACCACCGCCAATGCATATGCGATACTAGGGTTCATCAAGCATACATTGTATTGTTCGCTAGTGCGTAGCATACTGGAATATGGCGTTCTAGTATGGGCACCGTATCACGTCACGCTTTGCTTTCGCATTGAAAAGATTCAACGTGACTTTGTCCGCTACGCTCTACGACTGCTACCATGGAACGATCCGGTTGTTCTTCCGCCGTACGAGGATCGCTGTGCTTTAATTCGTCTTTCAACATTGGCTGATAGAAGGATTCTTCTGCAACGGCTGTTCATATTCGACATTCTGGACAACAATGTAGATTGTGCTGAACTTCTAGGGAAAATCCAGTTCAATGCACCGGCTAGGCAGACGCGACAAAATGACCTTCTCCGTATTCCTCAGCACCGTACAGTCTACGGTCAAAACAATCCACTGGATGTTTGCTGCCGTCGTTTTAACGAATCGCGTGAAGATTATGATTTTAATATTTCGAAAACCATGTTTAAAAATAGGATTAGTTCTTTAACTAGACAAGTAAATAAATAAATAAATAAATAAATAAGCGATTTTGTCATTTATCTCACCCACTCTTCGCTCTTCACTCTTCGCGAAAAGGCGATCAGAAAACCACTCATTGTGACTCTGTCAAAGTTAAATTTGCAAGTTTTATGTGTCAAACACAAACTTTACAATCTTGTCTTGTTGCTTACGCAAACCAATTATTATCATAATATCTTATTATTCCATAATTAAATAAAACTTTTTTTTGCCGAAATGAATGGAAGGAACCCTGATTTAGATTCCTTGCCTAATTTATTAATAAAAGCACTAAGAAAGATGTGCTTTCTTGAAAATCACGAAAAATATAAAATGCGCCCGTGGACCGAGGGGTGCTTCGATCGGCACAAAAATTTGTATTCATGAAAGTTCAACCAAAATAAACATCTCCTCTAAATTTGGCCCAAATTGGAAGAGGTCAATTTTACTTTTGTATTTTTTTTTCTCGGTCACTTAACACGGAATGACCCGTATGATGTTGAAATTGACTAGAAATTGATTGCAACAAAATTTAGTCTGACCCCGCCAAAAACGGGTTTTGATAAATTATACAAAAAAATTAAATATATTTTTCTCAAACTACATCTCGTAACATACTTCGTTTTGTTTGAAAATATCAAGAATTGACGTTGATAGACTGTTCTTGCGAGGAAATTGACCAACACCCCTATTTTTAGAAAAATCAAACGGTTCCGGAAACAAAATTTTTAATGTTGCTTCCCTATGATGAATGGTCACACGTTTCCATCAATTTAAGAACAATAAATTAGGACCACATTGATTCGTAATTCATGCATGCAAACAGTTCTGTTTGCCCAGTTACCACGAATTTAAATTTCCTTCAATGCAATTGTTGTACGTCCACGACAAACATGCATTACAAAACACACAAAATATGCCATTCTACCACGCAGATTCCAGCTGAGTACTGAGAAATGGCTATGTACATACGCCTGACATGACACTTATCTATTACAAGATCAAATTTTCACCCTCCCCACTTCGAACTGAAAGCACCGCCTGAATTGGCTCTGCTGCGCATACCTTCCTCGAACGAAAAAGAAAAAAGAAACCGACGGAAAACATTTCAAGCTGAACAATTCTTTAGGTCCTAAATAAAATTGACAGGTTCTCTTCGTCAATTTTCTCTTTGCATCCTCACGGCTATGCTAAGACACTACCAGCTATTTTTAGCTCACAGACGCTATTATCTAGAGGAAATGTTGGCTTCGGCAATACGTTAACCTATTATCGTCAGGTGGTAAACAAAGTCCTAGAGCACTAAAATTTGGCCAATAGATGCTCTCAAATACAATGTATCCACATACCAAAATTGAGTTCTCAAGGCCGTTGTTTACCCCCCTGACGATAATAGGTTTAGCTATTACCGAAGCCAACAGTTCCCCTAGTTTCTAATAAAACAAACATGACATGAAACGGTTCTATACCCAAGATATCATCGAAAGACAAAGTCGATAAAGTTAATAGATAAATGTTACTTAGGACCTGTTGCATTGTTCGGCTTGATTTCTTCGTATCACGCACTCCTCAACACGGTGGGGAAAATCCGAGGAAGTGGGACACTTACCGGTTTATTGAATATTCTGAGTTCATTCCCACACAGGAACAATATTTTCTTTTGCCATGCGAGAGCCCGTGCGATGAGATGAAAGGAAACTTTTTACACGGAGATCCGGACCCCCAGTCCGTCGTCTGAATACCGATCGATGAACCATGGTGAATGGTGGCAAAAAAAATAAAAATAAACTGGGACAAAGTTTTCACGCTTCGTTTCACTTTCAGCTGCAATCAATCTGATCGGTTTTGGGAGTTTGCCAGTTTAGTGTTGAACTTTGTCGTCTCCTTACACGTTGGTTGGGTGTTTTGATTTTCCATTTAGATTATGTCACTTCGAAGCATTTTATTGTTTGACTAAGATCCTGCCGCATCTATCACGTGTGCAACATGGAAATAATTTTCGTATTTAAGTTGCAGATTGCAAAGTCTGTCTACAAATCGACAAAACTTCTCCGTTCTTTGGATTGCAAAATCCCCCTACTCGGAATCCGACTCTCAACAAAAGCCGATCAAACATCTAAGCGTTTCATAAATCTCTGTCTCTCTCTCTCCTGCATTTACAGCCATCAGCATTCTCCCTGGGAGACCTTTGCGTTCCTCCAATGGCGAACGTGCTCAAAGTTTTCCTGGAAAATGGTCAAACCAAATCCTTCAAGTACGACTCGACCACAACTGTTCAGGTAAGTTTCCATTTATCCATCGCTCATATAGCTGGATGACACTCGAACCACACGAAGCAAATCAATTTTACTTCCTCCGCAGGATGTCGTTACGTCGCTACGTGATAAACTATGCCTAACCGCTGGCGAGCATTTCAGTCTGGTGCTGGAGCACGTCAAAAGTTTGAAGCGGAACAAGCTGACCCTGCTGGACCCGCAGGAAACCGTTGCCAAGGTGAGATCGCTACACGTGGGAATAAACTTTTTCAGCTGCTCTGACCTGTTGCCATCCCGGAAAATTTACGATCCACAGATTGCGGCCCGGCCCGGTGCCCACAAGTTGCGCTGCCTGTTTCGGGTGACCTTCGTGCCGGTGTCGGCAGCAGGCCTGGCCCAGAAGGATCTCAACGCGCTGGACTATCTGTTTCTGCAGTGCTGCAACGACGTCACGCAGGAACGGTTCGCGCCGGAACTGCAACCGGAAGTGGCCCTCCGGCTGGCTGCCCTTCACATGCATCAGCACGCGCTCGCGAACAACATTTCGCCCGCCAAATTGACTGTGAAAACTGTTGAGTGAGTATGATTGATTTGTTTATTGATCGGGCGGGATGGGTTTATCTTTTTCGGGTTTTTCTTTTCCATCCAGGCAGGGCAAGAAGACGCCTGTGGATGAATTGCTCGTTTTCTGAGTAGGACCTTTTTTCATTTTGCACACGCAAAAAATAAAACCGGTCGGAAATTTGTCAACCTCAAGTCACGAATATCGGAACAAGTTAAATTTTCACAGTTGGTTGGAAATGCTATCTAACATGAAGCTTTAGTGTGATTATTTATTAGCTAGAGAATGGTCTTAGAAGAGAGTAGGTAGATAGATCCGTTAGAGTACGGCATATGAAAATTGAATAGAAGTTGAAAATGAGCGAAGGGCCATTAATGCGACAGTGCAAGTCAAAAGCACACTCTTTGCCTAGCCCGTGCGATGTACGCGGAAAATTGAAGTATGTCTTCGCATTTCCAGTCGATGGTGTGTTATAATGCAATTCTTATACTGCTTTCTCTCTGAGATGACTACGTTGGTCATGACGAGAGGAGAAACACAATTAGGTTTTGCACCGTCGGGGTTAACCTCAATCTAATGAAAGTTCAGTGGTACTGTTTACGTGGACTTAGTCGATTTTTTCTTGGCTGGATTTTCTCGATAATTTTTCAGACTAAAGTGAGATGTAAACCACACTTCTGCAATGTCCACGAGCAACATCCTTTCAACGACAATTTTCAAGTTAAAATTCGGAAATTTTAGAATATTTTTTTTCGAAAAAAAACGACTAAGTGCTTGTAAACAGTACCACTGAACTGTCAAAAAGGTTCAGCTGATTAACACTGAGTTAATTCGTGACCTCACGCTGCAGAACTTAATAGTTGGGTAAAGAGGAATGAAAAAAGTGACACAATCTGCGGGCAATGTTTACTAATCATGAACACTAAATGTTCATGAATAATGAATAATGAACATTTACTGTTCATTCATGATTAGTAAACATTACCCGCAGCTTGAGTCCCTTTTTCTCGAGTGAGTGAACTCAAATCTATCCGTTCACTAGTCCATTAATAGCGGTAAGCTCCATCGAGGATTATACGCGAATTAATCTGGATTTTGGGAAATCTGGATTAAATCCTTATCCTCGATTCGGTAAGCACCAAGAGAGGATTAAACTATGAAAGCACGCATTCATTCTCTCTCGTATTGTAGAGAGTCTCTATGTGTGAGTGCATTCGCGGAAGAGCTGTCAATGAACTGATAGTTCTTAAGTGCATTTTGAATAGGTCGTATGTAACAAATCAAGACCAACAATTGAAATGGCCTCAACTCCATTTGGTAAACAAACATTGTAAGGCCATTTTCTCGCGAACCAAAGTCCGCCAACGTAAACCAACAAAATGAACAGGTAGGGGAAATTCTCCTCTACCCGATTGTGTGTTCGCTTTGCGAATGTAGGTTTCGGTTCGCGAGAAAATGGCCTTATAACGTTTGTTTACTAAATGGAGTTGAGGCCTTTTCAATTGTTGGTCTTGATATGTAAACAAATTGACATTTTAATGCTACCAGACACTACTCTGCTTACTCTTCCTAAAGGAAAAATTTAACCCTCTACCTTGTTTCTGTTTCATTTCCTCATCAAAAAAGTATTTTTCGTATGTGCCAACTGATCAAGGCACAGCTCAATGTTACATACTACACCTAACTTCTATGGGAGTGCCAATCGTAGTATGGAACAAATTTGACAGAAGCGTATAAACTGTACATACGACCTGTTGTTTTATCCTAATAAAAGTGCAAATTTTGAAAATCCTTAATATAAAACGGCTGTTGGTGATCTGTAAAATGATAACTATGCTTTCCGTAAGATATTACTCATTATAATACGATGTCATTATGACATGCGAAAGGTCGTATAATATTGATTGGTTAAAAATTATTTGTATTTTTAACAGAAACGCTATCAATACCTTGCTAAGTCGATAGCAGCTTTCCTGAGATGTTAGTTAATGGGAATTTTGAAAGAATTATCTATCTCATCGAAAATAGAAACAATTTTTTGTTGACTATAACAAAACACCTCGTTTCTCTAATTTACAAAAATGTTACATACGACCCAATCAAAAAGGACTCTAGCAGCGTTTTTTTTTTCATCGTACCGAAACAGGAACCTATATCAAGCTGAACATTGCATTAGGTCCTAGGTAACATTGATCGATTCTCTTCGTCGACTAATAATTTAATTAATTAGTTAATAAGCACATAACCGTTTCTTGTTGAGTTGTTTCAAAGGGAAAAGTTTTAAGGAAGCTCATTGACCCCCTCGGAAGTTTAGGAAACTTGCTTTGGGGTTTCTCTTAGCTCAAAAGACGCAGAAATATCTGAGACGGGATTTGAGTAGTTCTAGATTTTCAGAATAATTCCTGATCATCCTGACATCTTGAAAAATATCCAGAGGCTCTCCTGAATCCTGAAGGTATTTGGAATTATTTTTGAGCAACCTGGTGTCATCAAAGAAAATTTGGTAGACGTGATTTGAATTACTGATCATCCAGAAGTCTTGGAAAAATATTCAGAGGATTTCCTTAGGATCATTGATATGCTGAAGATCCTCGAAATAATTTCTGAGCTACCTGATGCCAGGAAAGATATATGTGAAAAACGTTACTTGAATTGTTGGACAGTTCTAGGTTTTTGGAATAATACCTGGTCATCCTGAAGTCTTGAAAAAATAAACTGAACACTTCCTTGAGATCTTTGATATCCTGAAGGTCTTTGGAATAATTTCTGAGCAATCTGGCACCGAGGAAAAATATATCTGAAAAACGTGACTTAAATTGTTGGTCATTCCTAAATCTTCAGAATAAAACCTAGGACTTATTACGGATGTCACTTCACGGTGAAAACTTTTTTTTATATTAATTTATTTGTACAGGCTCAATCGAATAAACTTTACAGAGCCGAGTTATCATTTGAATTAAACATGATTAATGTCTTAAATCTAGAGTTAAAGGAATTGAACCGATTACTCGCGGTCGTCTCGAGGTTAGTGGAGATTTACAATTTTTTGGATGGGGAAAAGGAGAAGGAGGTTGGAAATATGATTTATTATACAAATATTTAATTAATCCTAGAACATGAACTTATTTCTATTCATCTTGAAAACAAACATTAAAAAAAACTACACGCACAATACACAAACTAAACACAAGGTTAATCAAACTTACAATCTATGGTTAGTATTCTTAAAGTAAACATATATGAGTTTCATAAACTCCAGATCACGTCTAGCCAAAATATCCCGAACTGGAACATTAGGTTGTCTACCTCGAGCCCGAAGGGAATCGCACAGCTCAGATCTGGCTCCACGATGTTCAGCACAAGACCAAAGGATGTGATCGGCGTCTTGGTAACCTTGTCCACATTCACAGAGATTGCTGTCTCCCAGCCCAACACGAAACAAGTGAGCGTTTAACGAATAGTGATTGGACATGAGGCGAGACATCAGACGAATGAAGTCTCGACCCACATCCAACCCCTTGAACCAAGGACTCTTCGACACCTTAGGGATGATCGAGAATAGCCATCGTCCCAAACTCCCCTCACTCCATGTATTTTACCAGCTGGCGAGCGACTGTTGACGATAAATGAAGAAAAATTCATTGTAGGCGATTTGTCGATCGTAAATATCGCCTTGCATAGCGCCCACCTTAGCAAGTGAGTTCGCCTTCTCATTGCCCGGAATCGAGCAATGAGATGGGACCCATGCAAAGGTGATGACAAAAGATCTTAAAGATAAAGCACTCAGAAGCTCTCGTATTTTCATGAGAAAATACGAGGAGTGCTTTACCGGCCTCATGGAGCGAATAGCCTCGACAGAACTGAGACTATCCGTAAAAATAAAATAGTGATCTGGTGCAAGTGAGGCGATCGTTTCTAGCGTATAGTGTATTGCCGCCAGTTCAGCAACATATACGGAACAAGGAGCATGAAGCATTCGGGAGACGCTATGAAATTCGTTATAAATACCAAAACCAGCGGACGCCTCTGTTAGTGATCCATCTGTGAAGAACGATCTTGCGGAATCAACTTGGTCAAACTTTGCAGCGAAAATTGACGGAGCAAACATGGAACGATGATGCTCTGGGATTCCGCGAATCTCCCGCGTCATAGATAAATCAAAACTAACTGAATTGCCGAAGTCGGAGAAGCATACACGATGGGGATTATGCTGTGAAGGGCTGACATCCTGAGTTATGTACACGTAGTACAATGACATAAAACGAGTTTGAGGGTTTAGCTTAAGAAGCTTCTCAAAGTTTTCGATTACCAGTGGGTTCATAACTTCACAACGGGTGAGGAGCCTGAGGGACAATTCCGAAAACTGATCTGATAGTGGTAACATGCCCGCCAACACTTCGAGACTCATCGTATGATTCGAGTGCATGCATCCTAACGCGATACGAAGACAACGATACTGGATACGTTCCAGTTTGATGATGTGAGTTTTAGCCGCCGATTGGAAGCAAAAACTACCGTACTCTAAAACCGATAAAATCGTTGTCCGGTACAACGTTAGAAGATCTTGCGGATGATCTCCCCACCACGTTCCGATAATTGTTCGGAGAAAATTGATCCTTTGTTGGCATTTTCGTCTCAGATACTCAATGTGGGATCTCCAGGTGCATTTTGAATCGAACCAGACCCCAAGATATTTGAAAGACATGGAATGAGTGATCGGCTTACCCAAAAGTTGAAGCTTTGGTTGTGCTGGGCTATGCTTCCTAGAAAAAACGAACAACTCAGTTTTCTCCGTGGAGAATTCGATACCTAGCTGAATAGCCCAAGTAGACAAATTGTCCAAGGTATCCTGTAAGGGTCCTTGCAGGTCGGCCTCTCTGGGCCCTGTCATAGACACTACTCCGTCATCTGCAAGTTGTCTCAACGTGCAGTTGTCACTCTGTCTGCATTTCTCTGACGTAGAAATTATACAGAAGGGAGCTTAAACATGAGCCCTGGGGGAGACCCATGTAGC